AACCCGTCCGCTGCCGCACGCCCTGCAGAGGGCAAATGCAGGAACTGCTGGCGCTGCAGAAGCGGGACTGGGCGGGTGTGAAGCACACTTTGACCTTTGGAACTGGGCACTGCAGCCTCAATATCCGACTTGCGGCCAGAAAGCACCTGTATATTTCCTAGTGAAATATAATGGAAGGGCAACCAGCGTCTCCACCTGTGCAATCTTCACTCCTCTGAGCCTCAGATGTTTCATATGTAAGGTGGGCTGCATTCAAAATATGAGTACTGAATTTCTGCTTTGAGCCAAACACTAAGTTGAGCCCTTGGGATACAGTGGTGAGTAAAACAGCACAATTCTGAGTTGGTCCCAGCATCGTCCTCTACGCCCAAAAGGTTGAGGTTTCCATTCTGGTGGGGGCGCATACCTAGGTTGCGGGTTCATCCTCCTTAGGCGGGAACTAGAGGCAACGTGTGGATGTTTCTCAGATCGATGTCTCTCTCCTTCCCTCTCTTTCTCAAATCAATAAAAACATATCCTCGGGTGAGGGAAAAAACACGCACAAACAGCGACTCCTGCGCTAGAAGAAAAGAGGGTCGCCACTAGTTATCAATGCAGAAGGCACGCCGGAGTTACTTGGGTAGCTTCTCTAAAAGATACCTTTACCAGACTCGATCTGAGGAGAGGAGTCAGGACATCTGCATTTCTTAGAGTTCTGTAGATTAATCAGATGCACACACTGTGCATTGGAAACCCTGATAGGACGTGTGCCCCACCAAGGAACTGACCACTGGACAAATGACTAGACGCCCACTCTGCCCTGGACATAGGGCTTCAAAATGTGTCAGTGGGCCAGACCTTAATCTAGGAAGAGGTGGGCTAGGAAAATAGTCATGGTTCTCATACACATGAACATATGAATGAACTTGGCGTCAAGGCACCATTGGTTCTCAACCTTGGCTGCACCCTAGAACTACTGGAGAGCTTTTAAAAATACCTTTGCACGGGCCCCACCACCGAAGAATATAATTCAGTCGTCTGGGGTGGAACCTACAGTGGTATTTTGTAAAAGTTCCCCTGTTTTTAATGAACACCCAAAGATGACAACTACTCCTGTCTTACTCTTTCTACTATCCTCTCTGTTTCAAGGGAGAGTGGGGTGTTATGGTGTGGGGGAAGTGGTGGTTCAGTAAGGGAGGAGGCGGTCACCATGACTGAGCATTGGATTTAAAGTCAATGAACTTGGATTTGAATTCTAGCTCTGCCACCTGCTAGCTCTTTGGTCTGAAATTTCAAGTTCCACATTTGTGAAAATTGGTGTCAAATTTGGCGGCTTTAAAAATCTCAGTTTTGGAGCCCCAAAGTTGAATTGTTATCACCTGGCCAAATTCAAGGTATAAGTACAGCTACACTCCTCTGGAAGCTTTATGGGAAAATCTGTTCCTTTCCTTTTCCAGCTTCTGGTGGCTACTGGTAATCCTTAGGCTGTGGCCACTTTACTCTAATTTCTGCCTCCTTCTCTTCTCTGTCAAATCTTTTCTCTTATAAGGATACATGTACATTAAGGGTCCAACATAATCCAGAATAATCACCCCATCTCCAGGTCCTCGGTTTAATTACACCTACAAAGTTCTTTTGCTAGCTAAGGTAATATTCACAGGTTCCAGAGATTAGGAACTAAATATCTTTCAGAGGGCCATAATTGAGCCTATCACAATACAGCTAATAATGAATCCCCTGACCATCTGACAGGGTTATAGTTAGGAACAAGTAAGGTAAGTAAGTGAAAGCACCTGAAAATGTTATGCAAATGTAAGCTATAATCATCATTGCCACTTTCCATGACTCACCTATTAAACACCCCCCCCCCCCCCCCCCACCCCCGCCTGCCATTCCCCCAGTGACATGTACTGTAACCCTGGCAACCCTAGCAGCTTCCCATAGGTTGGCCCAGAACATTTCCTCTGAGGCAGAGCCAGGGCTACCCTAAGTTTATACAGGCCCTTGTGAGAATTAGAAAGGGAAGTGACTCTATCCTCAGGACACTTCTTTCTGTAGAAAATTAACAACATATATTCTACCATCTCTCAAAACCTTGTAAGGGATATTGAGCAAATAAGTAAATACATTAAAAATAGTGGGAACTAGATTTCTCTATATCAAGGAAGGAGTTAAAATATGAAAAAAGAGAAAGTTAGAATTTTCTCTTAATTAGAATTAAGTATTGATATAAACTCATGGTTTTCAATATGTAGTGATAGATATAGAAATAATTTTTTAAGGAAGGGTGGTGTCAGAGAAGGACACTGAAAATCTTTTTCCCAGAGACTGTCAATGAGTGCCCCTCCTCCCACAGTCTTAGTGAAAACCACATGGGGAGCCTGGACTTCTGCCCCAACCCAGAAGTAATGAGGCACTTCTCCTCTTCCCCACTGGGGTAGTGTCAGAAGAGGCCTAATGGAGAGGCCTAATAGTCAATACTTTCACTATTGTACAGTGATAACAAAACCACCCACTGTGGTGTCAGTGAGAATGGGAACTACCACCCCTAACCTGCATTAACCACCTTGGGGGTTAATGAAGGCCAAGAGGAGAAACTGGACTTCCACCTCTACCTGACTGTACCTAAGCAGCACTTCCCCCTTTTTCTTGTTAAAGCAGTGTAAAAAAAAAAAAAAAAAAAAAATCAGGCTAAAACAGATTCTCACAACATAATACAAAAATTTCCAGGTTTCATTTTAAAAATATTCATCATACCAAGAACCAGAATCTCAAAGTGAATAAAAAAGAAAATCTATACCTGCCAACACAGAGGCCATACAGATGTTAGATTATCTGCCAAAGACTTCAATGCTAAATAAGATAAATATGTTTCAATGAGCAATTATGAACATGCTTGAAACAGATAGAAAAATTGAAAGCCTCAGCAATAAAAAAATAGAAATTTTAGGACTGAAAAATATATAATAACTGAAATAAGAAAGCTCAATGATGGGCTAAATAACAGAATGGAAACAGAGCAAAGAATCCATGAACTGGAAGATAGAAGAATAGAAATAAAGATAGAGAGGAAATAAACTGAAAAGTAAAATAAACTTAGAAATCTATGGAACTATAACAAAAAGATTCAATATTCATGTCATCAGAATCCCAGAAGAAGAGAAGAACGAAGACAAGGCTGAAAGAGTTCTCAAAGAAATAATGGCTGAAAACTTTCCATACTTGACAAAAGACATAAACTTATATATCAAGAAGTTGGGCAAACTACAAGCAGGTCAAAGAAATTCACAGAAGACACACACCGCGACCTTCGCGGCGAGGTTCAGGATCTGAAGGAGGGGCTGACTCACAAATGAAAATACTATACAAGAAATATCAATTTAGAAGGCATTGGGGGCCAGGTGGAGTCTCTTTCTTGAAGAGACACACCGAGACCTAGCCTTAGCCGCTTTTTATTCAGTTTTAAATACACATCTTGCCCTTAGTAAAGCACGGCAAACAGATAGCCAGACAGACCGTCTCAAAGGTCAGTAAAGATCAGTAAGGTCCAGTAAACATTTACTTGGAGGCTATCAGGTCAGGAAATTGCTTCGAGCCACCACTATCTCAACGCGAACAATCAGTGCCTAGTGTCAGCCCTGCTGACGCACAAGGTCCATTGGCCTCCCGTGTTCCTTGGTGCACGCTCATAACAGTATTGGCAAGCGGTGGCTTCCTGCAGACACATAACTAAATTTCTGAAAACCAAGACAAATAAAAAATCTTGACAACAATCAGAGAACAATGACTTTTACCTGTAGGGGCTAAAACATTCAAATGACCTAAATTTTCTCATCAGTGATCTTTTAGGCCAGAAGAAAATAGCACAATAAATTTCAAGTCCTGATTAGAAAAGGACTGGCAACCCAGAATCTTAAATGTAGTGAAAATATTCTTCAAGAATAAGGAGAAATCAAGACATTTTCAAATGAATGAAAACTAAGAGAATTGGTCATCAGAGAACTTAATACCTAAAAGAAGGTCTCTAAACATAAGGGAAAAGATCAAAGAAGAAACCTTGGAACATCAGGAAGGAAAGAAGACCATGGCAAGCAAAACTATGGGTAAATACAATGTGTACCTTTGTGTACTGTTGGTGGGAATGCAGATTGATGCAGCCTCTACAGCATGGAGATTCCTCAAAAAAATTAAAATTAGAATTGCCTTATGGCCCACCAATTCCAC